ACAAGTTAACTGGGAAATGATTCCTTCATTTTGAAATTCATTTTTCATATATTCGCCTCCGGAATCGGAACGAAGAATTTTGATGGACGTGGAAAATTGATTTTTTATGTAAGCCAAAAAACGCTTAGGCATCAAAAACTCCAGATTTAGAATGCAAAAAATAAATCCATTTGTGTCGACTATAATCGTCTTTTTTTCCCTAGTTGGTACTCACACACACTTGTCTCTTCTGAGACTTGAACCCTTGACCTCCCTTTGGAAAATAACCGCTACGCCATTGGCCCGTTGGTGTGTCGACTATAATCGTCGATGAAGGAAACAAAATATTTGTGACGAGAATGAGAGGGAAATGGAGCATCCCCCCAAACATCAATATGAATCAAATCGAAGCATTTTGTTGTAGTGTCACCATGAATTGGAAAAGGAAGAGTCTTACGTTTACCCAATTTACAACTACTACAATCAAATGAGATATCATTGAAATACACAGGGTCTTTATTAGAAAACAAACCAGATTTCAACAAGAACAACAATCTTTTGGCATTAGGATGCCTCAATCATTTATGCCACATCTGATATGACGTACTAGAAGAAGGACAAAATAATGAAAACAAAGATTTATTCCTAGGATAGCTAAACAAGCTTAGAGGAAACAGCCTTGCACATTAGGTCCCTTCCCGATCACTTTCCCCGACTCCTGATCCTGCACAATACATCCAGATGTAGAAAATGAGACTTTGCTGTTGTTATCAACCAATTGACCGACATATATAATATTAGAGGTCAAACGTGGTGTATATAAACATTATGTAATGGCAAAGAATGGGGGATATTACCAACTGACTTAATTGGAAGATGTTCTCCATTAGCAGTATGAATTTGCACATTTCCCATATATGGTTTCACATTAGTGAGATGTGTTGAGGAAGCACTAGAATCAACATACCAAATAGATTAGGAAGTAGTTTAACCTCTGAGACCAAGAGCAGAAAATGCAGAATGAATCATTTGTTGCACTACCTCTGGAGTTAAGGAACTAGAAGCAGTAAAAGCTAGAGGAGTCTGCATAGTCATAGGAGCAGAGGGAGAACTGTTAGCATTTATGATACCACGATTTATGGTATAACTTACCATAATAGCCGAGATATGATAGGCCCAAATCATGGGATGTAAGATTGAGAGTGGGGCTGCAAAGTTAAGAATCCTAGAAGGAGTCCTATTAATGATGTAAACAGCGGTAAGAACTGCATGTCCCCAAAATGACTCGGGAACTTTCATGCCAATGCAGATTGCTCTGGCTAAGTCAAGGATGTGGCGATTCTTTCTCTCAGAACGACCATTCTGTTGAGGAGTTTTAATATTAGCCAGCTGATGTGCAATCCCAAATTCTGTACATAACCGTTGTACCTCCCCATAAGTGTACTCTGTACCCTGGTCAGATCGGAATTTTTTAATGGTACGACCAAATTGAGTCTGAACCATTGTCATAAAATTTTTAAAAATGGTGTATACCTCATTTTTGGTTTTCATAAGATAAACCCAAGTAACACGACTATGATCATCAATGAACAACACGAAATATCGAAATCCAAGACTAGAAGTAACTGGGCAAGGACCCCACACATCTGAGTGAACAAGATCAAAAGGTGTTAAAGCAGATTTATTACTACTAGCAAGATAATTGGAACGAACATGTTTAGCCATATGACATGTTTCACAGGATAAATCTGACACTGCCACGTTACAAAATAAGGAAGGAAATAAATGTTTCAAATAACCAAAAGAAACATGTGCCAACGCATAAGCTGGGCTTTATTAGATGAAACAATATTAGAAAATGAAGCTGAATGTGCTTGCGGTGACAAAGGAGCATCCAATAGGTATAAACCGTCCACTTCACGCCCACTGCCAATCGTCCATTTCGACACCAGATCCTGAAAAATACAATGAGAGGGAAAGAACGTTACACTACAATTTAATTGTTTGGTAACGCTACTAACAGAAATAAGATTTGTAGTCAACTTTGGAACATGAAGTGTATTTGACAAAGTTAATGAAGGAGTAACTGATATGTGACCCTTCCCAGCAATGGAAGATGGAGAGCTATCCGCAAGGCGGACCTTGCGTTAGCCAGAGCAGATACTATAAGATTGGAAGAGTGAGGACATACCAGTCATATTGTCTGAAGCACCAGAATCAATGATCCATGGTGTTGAAGATGTAGATACGCTATGTGCAGACGCAATAGTACCTGAGTGGGCATAAGTGGAGGTTGGCTGAGATGATGCCTCCATTTGGTTGGAGAATTGCTTGAACTTGTCCAAATCAGCTTGAGTTAAGGTAACTATGGCAGAAGATGTAGAGGCAGGGTTGTCAGGAGTTGACAACGAGCCTGGTTGTGTAACAGAATGTGCAGAGGATCGAGGCTGTTTTTTCTGTTGCGGTGGACGTCCATGTAGAGCATAACAATGAGATTTGATGTGACCAATTTTTCTGCAATGGTCACACCATCCACGTTGTCGTCCCAGAGGAGGACCGGTGGTAGTGCTCTGAACTGACTGGGATGGTGAAGTTCCTGAAAGGTTGGGAATCCGAACTGCCATAGCAGAACGATCAACAGAAGCAACACCTAATGGATGAGTCCGGCGGTTCTCATCTGACAACACATAGGAATATGCATCCTCAAGAGTAGGGAATGAAGATAAGCCTAATAAATGAACACGAGCATACTCAAACTCGTCGTTCAACCCGGCAAGAAACTGAAACACTCGATTCTTCTCCACAATTCCTACATATAAAACTGCATCATCTGGATCCTTCCAAGAGTGGAAGGAATCATAATATGACATCTCCTCCCAAATAGCACGAAGCTTGGCGATGTAACCTGAAACTGGTAAGTCACCCTGAGAAATCCTGGTGATATCTCGCCCCAGCTGGAAAATTCGTGCATTATTCTGCCTCTGAGAATAAGTGCGTTGAACTGAATCCCAAATTTGCTTAGCAGTCTTCATAAACATATAGCCAACAGCTATGTTTGGTTGCATTGAATTGACTAGCCAAGACATAACCATAGCGTTATCTACAAACCACTGTGGATATGCCTTCTCTGACTTAGCTGGCTTTTTCTCAGAACCAGTAATATAGCCAATCTTGCCTTTGCCACTAATGAACATCTTGGCAGACTGTGCCCAAATCAAATAGTTGGAACCATCCAACTTCAATGTGGTGATTTGAAGTCCTGGATTTTCTGATGAGTTGGTGGGAAAAAATGGTACCACCACCCACAGAATGTGAGCCAAGAGAATTAGCAGTCGAGGACCCTGAATTTGCCATAATCTGTCACACGACAATAAAAAGAACTCCAAAAACACCACAAATTCTGTTAATAAATCAAAGGGTCTCCTCAGACCATAAACAATGTTTCCTCAGACCATTCCCAAAAAATCCAAATACATACCTTTTTTAAGGAGCACTGCCCGCTTACATATAGCCAGACAGCCTCCTTCTTAATATTCGGAACCTCTTTGTAAACTAATTTTTTTTTTACCCAAGCCCTTCTAGGTGTTGGAAACCAACTATCCCAATTTACCCAACCCTAGAAGAGTGAAAAAGAAATTGTAAAACTTAAAAATACCTATTTTCGATCACAAAACAGCAACACAGAAAAACATGTGTAGGCAACATCATACGATGTCACAAACAGCCTAAGGTAGCTGTCGCACAAGTAGCAAGGCTGCTGAAAGGTGTGGAAAGGTGTTGGCTCTGATACCAAGTAGAAATATAAAAAGAAGAGAAAAGAGAGAATTGCGTAAAGGCTTGAATGAATTAATTCCCATTCACAGCTCTAGTATTTATAGATAAAATGAGCACATGCTCATATTACAAGAAAGGAAACAAAATCAAATCATTGCATATTCTATGCCTAGACATATGCGTAAATAAAGTCAAATACATGATTAGTGGCTATCATATCTCACAGATAATATGGTAAATCACATCCCATGATTTGGGCCTATCATATCTCGGCTATTATGGTAAGTTATACCATAAATCGTGGTATCATAAATGCTAACAGTTATCATCAAGGTTACCGATCAATGTATTGACCTACATATATAAGCATCAAGGCAAAACTTTAATCAAATCTTACTACGAAAAATAAAACCCTAAAATATTAAATTACTAAAATATCCTAAAATTATAACATGATTAAAATAATAATAATTGAACATAAATTCCTAATTCTATCTATCTTCCCACGTGTTTAATAGTAGGTGCGACGACAATTAGTGCTGGTTTAGTTTCTGATATAGTCTAAGCTTCAGTTGGACATGGCGTTATTGGTAGAATTAGTAAGAAACTAGTGATTAAGTCGCTAATGAAAAGGCAATAAAAATAGATTAAGCAGCTTCTGGGTGTTATGAAATTAGAGTCGATCCAGCACACTGTTTTCCATAATAATGAAGCATGTACTGTTAGATTTTTTCATCACTTGTTATTGCCACTTGTTTTAATTGTTTGTTTAAAAGGAGAGAAAAGGAAGGGGAGGAGAGGAGGGAGGGAGGGAGGTTAGGGGTGGGGTGTGTGTTTGGGTTTGGGTTGCAATGTTCCCTCATCAGCTATCAACATGGCAAAGCAAATGTGTTTGAATTGAACAATGACCTAAAATGTTTTGCAAGCCATCCAGGTTGAATAGTATTGCAGTTTTTTCTTTTTTTAGTAAATTAAATGATATGTTTATTCGAAGGAACAGCGTTTAATGATATATTGCAGTTACTTCAACTAAATATGTTTATTTGAAAGAACAGCCCTACTGCATTTGATGCTTCCACAACAACCTTTATATAGCTAAATTGGGAGATTGTAACTGATGCTGCTTTGAACTTCCTCTGTGATGTGAAATAGTTGGCTGCTTGCAAGTAGTTCAGAATCATTCTATATTCCTTTCTTTAGTGCTTATTATTTCTTTAATGTTAACAAATTATCATTTTTGCATTAAGGTTTTAATCGGAAGAGGAACGGAAGATGTTAATGTTGACATTGACTTGGGAAGGGAAGGACGTGCAAATAAAATATCTCGACGGCAGGTAAGAGTTTGTTTTGACTGCTTCAGTTTATACTTTTGAAATACTTGTTAGCAATAACGTTAAGTCATTGTTTCCATCCGGTTTTTTGCTTTCTGCTTTCTTCTTTTTTAAAATTATTTTTTCTATTTTACTTATAAAAAAAAAAGTAATTTTTTCTGTTTTGCTACCCAAATATTACATAGAAATTCATTACAAGTACAAGAAGAATCATAAATGGCAAGATATGAATAGTAAACTAAAGCTAGGGAATACTAGGAAAGAAATTTCCAGGTGCAGCTCTTAACTCTCTTTAGAGTGGTACCCCATAACTCTCCCTCAACCGCTCACGACTCTGTTTGTTGATTAACTAAATAATATATATAAATTTATGGCTCTTTCACTACTTGTGGAAGGCATTGTTTTTATCCTTTTCTGTTGATATCATGAGTTACTTTGATAACCAATGAACATCACTCAGAGGAAGGTTTACACTTTTATCCTTTTTTCTCTGTTTGAATATCATGAGTGTTCTTTTTTTTTTTTTTTTTTTTTTTTTTTTCAGTGATGCCACTAATAACCAACAAATCACACACCGGGGAAGTTGTGTTATCAATTTTTGAGTCAAATAAGAGACTTAATTGTTAAGTTAATTTTGGATCTATGTTGTTGGCTTTGCTTCAGCGTTCCGTAAAGTAGGCTTTATTTAATGTTGTCAAAGTATTTTTTTTTTTTTGATAAGTAATAAAAGGATAGAATTCCTTCAAAAGGGGAATGCGTCCCAAGAATACAGAGGCCGAATCCGCAATAGGGGTCCTAAGGATCCAATGAACCCATAAATCCTTCCAAAATCAAGTGTTTCTGCCATCTTGAACTTTGAATCTGATGTGTTTCGAAAATTCATCCCAGCCCTTTTGAATAAACTTTCAAACCCCAACCCACCAGAAGATCTAACCTCTTGGGAGCACGACCCACCTCTCGCCCCCCTAAAGCTGTAAGAGATGACCTTCTTCCATAACCGATGAAGTTCCCACCAAATCTCCACAACCACTTCCCTAGGAGAGCCCTATTAAAAAGGATCACCCTCCTAATACCTAAACCACCCAATTGAAGAGGCTTGCACACCTGCTCCCATGAAATAGGATGATACTTAAACTCTTCTTCCAAACCGCCCCACAGGAAATTCCTGCTCAAGCCTTTCAATCCTTTCAGCTACGGAGTGCGGAATTTGAAAAAGAGAAAAAAAGTATGTGGGGAGACTTGCCAACGTGCTCTTTATAAGAGTGACCTTCCCGCCCTTCGAAAGATAATGCTTCTGCCACCCAGCAAGACTTTTCTCAAACCTCTCAATCACGAGATCCCAACCCCCCACCCTTCTTGACAGAGAATCTAATGGCAAGCCAAAATAAGAGATAAGGAAAGACCAAATCCCACACCCTAGGATTGCAGCAAGATCGGCAATGTTATGCACCTCCCCCATAGGGACTAAAGAGCTCTTCCCCGCATTCACTTTTAGGCCAAAGACAGCCTGAAAGCAGACTAGAACACACCTCAAGTATTTGAACTGGGACACATCGCATCACTGAAGACCAAAATACCATCCGTAAACAACAAATGAGAAATCTCAAGTTGATGATCTATATCTTTGCCCACCCTAAAACCCCTAATGAATCCCAAGTCCACAGCCCTCCTCATTAATCTGCTAAGAGTTTGTATAACAATGATGAACAAAAAAAAAGAGAGGATCCCCCTATCTCAAACCTCGGGAATTGCCAAAGAAGCCACAGCAGCAAACTCCTACTAACATGGTCCTAAGCTTTCTCAATATCAAGCTTACAGTGGGATACCACTACTCAACCTAGAATCCACACACGCACTTGCAACGAGAGTTGGATCTATGATCTGATGACCACCAATAAAAGCATTTTGAGATTCTGAAATAACTCCATCCAAGACGTCCCTCAACTTTAAAGCAAGGACTTTAGCTATAAGCTTGTACAAACACCCCACCAAGCTAATAGGTCTAAAATCCTTAACATCAATAGCTCCACCCTTCTTGGGAATACGGGCAATAAAACCTGCATTCAAATATTTCTTGAAACGCTCATGGAATGAAACACCTAGAATGTCCCCATCACCTCACCCCCGACCACATCCCAACTATCCAACAGGAACCTCATAGTGAAGCCATCCGAACCCGAGGCATTGTCGTCGTTGCAACTCTTCAGTGTCTTCAACACTTCCTCTTCGGAGAAGGGAACCTCTAAGCCATCCCTGTCCAAATAAAAAGTCGTATCAAAATGCAGACAGCCAAGCCGAGGGTTCCAACTATATTTCTCAGTTCTCTAATAGAATGGGGCAATCCCCCTGCGCACCTCCTCCTCCCTACACAAATCTACTCCATCAACACGAATCCACCCTATGTGATTGCCCCTCCTATGAGCATTAGCCAGCCTTTGTATTACAGTCACCCTCTTTAAGCCATAATGCCCGGAACTTCTGACCCCACGAGATCTCCTCTAAAGTAGCAATCTCAGCAATCTCCACCTGACACTCCGCTCTCTGATGCCTCTGAGCTTCCACAATATCAACCATGCCTTCCAACTGATTGATCTCTGCAATCTTTTAGCAAGGGCCTTGTTTTTCCTCCAATCCAAATTCCTAAACACCTCCTCATTCCAAGTTTTGATCTCAACCTTCAAAAACTGAAGCTTTCCTGCCAAAATGAAGCTCGAAGAGCTAGCCATTGTAGACTCTGTCGGCCAAGAATGGACTTTCCCCTAGAAGTCCTCCGCTCTAAGCCATATGGTCTCAAAACGAAAAGGAGTACGCCGGGAACTCAACCCACCACAATCCAAAACCAACAGAATATGATCTGAAGTCGGTTTGGCTAAAGCCGCCCGGACCACATCCGAAAACCTCTCCCATTCCCAAGAGACCAAGAATCTGTCCCGAGAAAGAGTACCAATATCCCTACCACTAGACCAAGTGAATACCGCGCCCTCCATTGGCAAATCAATAAGGTGATGGCCGTCAATGAACTCCAAGAATTGCTCCATAGATGAAGACCATTTTCCCCCTGAAGTTCTCTCCGATGGGGATCTAACCACATTAAAGTCCCCACCATGGAAGGGCCACAACCCCCTCACAACGTCAATCTCGTGCCAAAGAAGGTGTCTCACCCCATCCTCCACCGGGCCATACACACCGGACAAAACCCACCTGAAGCCATCCTTCTCTAAGTCACATAATTCGTCCAAAGAGGCCCCGCTCTCAAGCTCCGTACGCGAATTTGCGATTTGGGAGCGAATTCGCACAAAATATGCGAATTAAATTTTTGCAATTCGCGAATTTGTTTTCCTAATTCGCGATTTCCATACGAATTTACTTTATATAGCTAAATTTGTTAGAGTCCCATTGATATGGAATACCTATATTACCATATATGCATTTATTACTTACATTATTACTCAATATATATATTAATTACTTAAATTTCAGCGTGCCCCAGCTGTATGGCATTGCTATACTACCATATATATATATATATATATATATATATATATATATATATATTAATTATACATGTTTGAAAATATATTATTAAAAAACTTCCCAATTAGAGAATATTACAAATAAATCACGCGTCTATTAGTGATAAAAATTAGCTTATTTATTACATATATCATTAATGGAATAATAATCATGAATATATTTGCATATGGATTTAAATAAATAAAAATATATAAAATATATATGTCATGACCTGATATAATTTTATTTAAATCTAATATACAGACGCTCTCAAGATGCTCCTGCTCTAAATATTTTTAGACTTTGACGCTTTCGCGCGCTCGCTTTCGCTCCCGCTCCCGCTCCCGCTTCCACTCTGTGTGACTTAGATCCTTCTCTATAACTAAAGCACAAGAAATAGAGAATCTCCCCCTCCAAACATCCACCCTTAACACCCACCTCCTATCCCACATGACAAGAATACCCCCCGAAGTCCCAACGGCATCCAATGCTTCCCGCTCAATAAATTTCCCGCCGCAAAGACTCCTCACCACCCATATGAAATCGAGGCAAACTTCGTCTCCTGCAAGCAAACCACATGAGACCCCCACTTCCTAACCGCCAACTTCACCACCTTCCCCTTATCCGTGTCATTGAGACCACGGACATTCCAAGAAATGATTCAGAACTTCATGAGGAAACGTTGGCACTCCCCACCCCTTTACTTTCCCCTCTCCCTCACCACAACCTCAATCCCTTTTGGAGGCAGCACATTGGCAAAGGCCCAACAAAGCCCAAGTCAGAACAGTCTGCTCCATCCCATGTTACAGCATTAAGAGGCCATTCCTTCTGCTCCGTCTTCTCGTACCCCTCACTGCAGCTGGACCCCTGCTCAGAATCATCGCAAGTCAACCAGTCGATGGAACTGCCCCTACCCCCCACCAGATTGTCAACCCGAGAGTCCAGACCTGCTGCTCGCCTGCCTGCAATCTGTGTTTATTCTGCTCCTGCACCAACAAAGCTGTCGATTCATCACTAAGAGTGATGTGAATGTCCCTTCCAACACAAACAATTGTCTTCTCATTAAACGCGTCATCGCTAACAGTTGGTGAACTCGGCTTGGACCTCCCAACCGACATGGAGCTAGAAGACGGACCCTACTCCCTTCGTCTATGGATCTGTGTCGCAGAAGACAGTTCCCCACAAGAAGAAGATGGAGCATGGTGAGAAACAGAATTCTTACCTGCATCAAAACCGTCAATGACAGCCCCAGTCGCACGCCATTTCTGTTTCTCCGCTTGCGACCATTTACGGTGAAGAGCTCGGGGATGACGATGAGCCTCATCCGTCTGTCCGCTCGCGGCCATTTATGGTGAAGAGCTCGGGGACGACGATGAGTCTCATCCTTCTGTTTAAACACAGAAGAGTCATCGATCAAAATATCATGTCTTTGTTTAGAGCCCTTGTAACTTGGGCCATGTCTTCCCACCTCCACTGTGTGGCCCAGCCAATCATCCGAGTCTGAATCTTTACAAAAAGATTGAAGCGGCCCAAATCTATTTGAGTTGGTCCAGCCCAACACCTGGCAAGGGTCCTTAGCCTGTTTCACAGAACGGCCTTTCATTGAATGCCCAGACTAACTATGGGCCACAGAAGAGGTCTCATTTAAAGTTAGCTCACGGATACCACGCCCAGCCTCCTTGAAACCCTTGGAAGAGAGGCCCGATGGATGATCATTTGGTACAAAGCCCATACCTGCTATGAGTAAAATGGTCTCTCTTTTTAAATGGGCCACGAATGCCAGGCCTAGAGTTCTGCTTCTTAACAGGACCACAGCCCATTCCAGCGAATTTAAAATTATGTTGCATGTCACGTGACCGACCGCCTCTCTCCACACGATCATCGACACACATCCCACCAGCTGGCGCTCTTATCATGTAGCTGTTCTGGGATGCACTGACGCGTCGAGCATGCCTGACCTCCCTCACGCACTTCTCATTCGCGTGGACCACCACTCGTCCCTTACCTTCAACTAATCTCACTTGTAGAGACGCGGTCCAATCCTCCTTAACCGTCTGATCCACCACCCCAGCCTCCCTCTTTGTCCTCCCCAAGCCAAGCTTAGGAACTGACGCATAATTCCTTTGAGAAGCCCATGCCACTGTCCCCTCAGAGAGTCGATTGCAGATAGCGAGACCCGGAAAGCAACCCACTCATCCTCCACGATCACAAAATCCGGAACTATTCCACCATCTTTGACCACAACAAAGGACTTCTCTGGTCGATTCTCTCGTCCTTCTCAACCAATGAAGCCCCCACACTTCTCACCAATAGCTTCAATCAAGGAATCACACCAGAATCCGGCAGATACCCTCCTCCTTCAACAGTCCAGTACATCCCGCTCTGTAACCCTATCTGTCAAGCATGAGAAAGGCGTCACCCAACATCCTCCTTCCATGCTCCAACACTCTCTGCTGCCTGTCGAGAGGGAAAACGAAACAAGATCAACGAGTCCGGCAACGCAAAGGCCTCAACCCTCCCTCTTCCTTCCAGCACGATGAAGCCCAATCAGTGATCTTCGAAACGCTGCCTACCTCTTTATCAAACCGGCCCACCAGATATGATTTAAGAATATCTCTTCTCCGTTCGATGCTCCTGTCATCAACCCTAAATGATTATCTTTTTGGTTTTTGTGCAAATTTCTTCACAAAATACTTAAAATACTGTGACGAACTAAATTTTACATTAAAATAGATCTTCTGACCTGACTATGCGTGGATCATGAAGATCACGGTCAGATGAGTGGAATTTAGTTGAGAAATTGACACCTATGTAGTATTAAATCATATGCCTTGTAACGAAAGCAGGAAAGTCAATCTTGCTATTCACACCCATGGAGTAGAGAAATTCCAAATGATGTTGAGACAACTCGGCATGATCTTTTGGTTAAAAGTTGAATTCAAGATTTTTGTTTAAAACCTGGAATTGAGGTTTGTTTGAACCTTGTAAGATCTAGAACACGGTGTGCGTATGCAAGAGGTTGGTGATGGGCTCTGAGCATCTTCACTACCAATTCTTCCTTGGTATGAGGTACTCCAAGAGTAATGATAATGGTTTCGGGGGTAACATTGTAAACAACACTGTAGTGAGCATTTATGAAGCTGTGATTGATGGTATCAAAGTCGTGCATGTTTGCATATAATACATGAAGTAGAGTGATAAAAGATAAATTGGGTGACCGGGAATTTTATTTGCTGTGGCCGAACTGGTAATTTGAAAATAAATTTTAAAAAATTACAATGTAATATTTACTTGACATTAGAATTTTGGAAAGTAGATCTGAAAGAGAATATTTATAAACCAATTAAAGTATTTCATAACATGTGAAAAAAATAATAGATATAGGAAATTTATTTGGAATTTTGTTAACATTCCTTTAAATGTGGACTATTAGGAAGTGAAAAATTCAAATTGATTTTTATTTATTTTTTTTATAAATTAAAAGGCGGTCGAATGTTTAAATGTTGTTAGTATTTTGAAATTAACTATTTATTAGAACCTATAGTTTAGGGATTTTACAAAATTTTGGGGGGCCATGGGTCCCCTAGTCCCCACATAGTTCAGCCCTTGCTGCTACCCATTAATGCCTATTCCCATTGTCGTGAAGTGATCATAATCTCTTGTTTCACGATGAGAGAGCATCTCTTGAAGACACTGTTGTATCTATCCCATGAATGTGAGTTGAGTAGATGATCTTCGGTTTTAGTGTAGAAATGTCTTGGTTCTTTCGATGGAGGTTAGTTTGAGGTTCCTTCCTTTCTTTGCCGTTTGGGGTTAGTGCGTACCCGTCCCAGCCATGAGCACCACAAGAGCACACAAAGAAATTCATTGTTGAAGATTTTGAAGAGAAGGGAGAGCTAGGGGAACTTGAAGAGCAAGAGAACTATCAAGTTAGAAAGTTGGGTGTGAGTGGAATGAGGCGTTTAAGGGATTTATATAGGTCCTAAACCTTTTCAAGTGTGAGCAGGTGAAAGTTGGAAGGTAAAAGTTTCCTAAAATGTCTAGATGGATTCTTATTATTCTGATCTGCCAACTTGCTCGATCCATTGATTGAGGTTGATTAACTAACTCTGGACAGGGCTCAATCAGTCTTTGCTTCGATTGATAGTCTTTGTATTTCAGACTTTCAGTTCAGGCTTCCCATCAACCCATTGACCTCATGCTCTTTGGATTTCAGTTGATAGATTGACCTTTCAATTGATTGTTTGAGTTTATCAAATATTCACCTTTTTACTTGTTTTATTGTTAACCAAAAATCTAATTTTCAACTCAAAAAATCTCTTAAATCCTAATCTAAACATATCAATAAAAATTAATCTTTCTGTAAATTTTTTTTAATCATTTTCAAATTGTATTTTTGAAAACTTAAATGCATTTATAAACTTATTTATAGAGATATGCCCTATATCATGCTAGAACTTTAGCCAATCAAATCTTGATAAAATTTAAGGCCTTGTTTGGAAGAACTTCCTAGTAATAGACGTCCTCCATTTGAAAGGCTTTTACAAAAGGAATTTTATGTAAATGAATTTAAAAGAGAGAAGATGTTTTGTAAATGCAATATTAAGAAGCCCATTTAACTATTATAGTTGCTTTGAATTGACAACATTATCCTGTAGACTCAATAATAACCCACGTTGCATTTAATCATTTAACATAAATTCAAATGCAGGGTTGCACTCATGATAGCTTTTTTAGGTAGCTATTCTTAAGTATGTAGACAATATAATGAATAAATCTGAAAATCCATTATTATTATTATAAAGTAAGCTTCAGTTTAATAGAAATTCCCGTATTAAGGAAAATAGTGTATTCATAGTCATAAACTCCATTGATATAGACCACATCATTTGGGGATGGAAATAAAATCACAAGTCACCTTCCAGTTTCCCTTTTCAAAATAGGTTTGCAAACCAAAGGAAATGCCAAAGTCAAGGCCAACACGTTAGCCATAGATAGCCAGTGCAACATAGTGCATCAGATTCATCAAATCACCATCCAATTTACCCTTTTGATTCTCTCCATCATCAGTTTTGGTGCCCTCCTTCCCATTGACTCTTCCACTGCTATCCATATGTAAACATGAAATTAAAAATCAGTGAATCCAAAGCCTCAAAGACTAATATAGTAGGAATTGCATATATATATATGTGTGTGTGTGTGTAGATAGAACGAACCAACACAGATCGAGAATGGATCTTAGACTATCAAATCCTTCGAGCCACCAATCTACCTCTGATGACTGCACCACTATAAAATCTCCGATTATGAGTTTTTATCAGTTATCCAATGGTGTCCTCCTTCAGCTCCACCATATATATACAGATGCATATATATACACATGACCTTAAATTATTTTACCTTGACATAATTTTGCAGAATTCATAAGGATCAGAATGGATCTGAACCCAGCAACTTGTAGTCTACTGCTCAGGTTTTCTTTCGAGGTGGCAACCTAACAAGTGAGGGACAAATTTGTCACTTAGAACTTATTACTTCAATAACACCCGACTTCGTGAGAATCAGTTTTCAAAAGTAACTCTTACTGGCTTTGACAAAACGGACTTCCACATTATTGGGCTTCCGTTTGCTTTGTTCCACCAGATACCCAAATTTTTTATTAAGGATTTATAGGCCTTAGAAGTCTTTCTAATGCCCCTTAAAAGCTCCACCAAACACTTACTAAATCATCTAATATTCAATTAATAATGCCTGAATTTCAAGATCTCATACCCCCCCTCCAAGGAATTGTTTGCACCCAAGAGGAATTGAACCTTAGACCTGAGCTTTAAATCTTTGGTTGAAGCAAAGATACAAACTTCATTTAGTTTTTTATTTTAGCTTTATAAGCAATTTCTTAACTTGTTAACCATCTTTTAAAGACTCTTTCACAATCCATTAGGTAACTTTATTAACTGTAACTTTTTCTCCACTACAACTAGAAGTATGCATAATTGTTTTTGCCTATCTTATTAGGCAATTATAATGATGGACAAAGAAGGATCATTTCATCTGAAGAATCTTGGCAAGTGTTCTATCTTCGTAAATAACAAGGAAGTAGCCCCTAAACAATGTCTCGCCCTTACTTCAAGTTGTTTGCTGGAGGTATGCTTGAGCTTTTCCTTCTTTAATAGAAGATGATTGATCAATTTTGTTTATTTCACTTCCCAAATGTCCTGAATGTTTACTAGATAGAAATTGGGATTCTCTTCTTGATAGTATGCTCCTCTAATTTTTTATTATATTATTATTATTATTTGTATTAAATGCTCCTCTAATTTTCATTTTAATGGTATACAGCTGCAAGAAAAATGTAGTTGTATCAACTGTACATACCTGCATTAGTAGCGGAATCACCAGAAGGCTTGGTCCACTCAACTTTTTTTTTTTGGAATATAAATAGGACCCCTAATTTTTTTTCTTCTTCAAAAACAACTCTTTTTTCTTAACAGTCACCGCCCTTCTTTTCTTAGTATTTTTCTTCTCTCTTAAACATTCAATGCCTCTCTCTCTCTCTCTCTCTCGTGACCTACTGCAATTTTATCTCCCACTTCAGCGGTGAATCTCTCTTTTTGAGTATCTGTGTCTCTTCCAAGGAAAAAGCTCCAAGAGGAAAATTTGTAGATATCTTCTTTAAGTTGAAAATTTTAACCCTAAGCCAATACACAAAATTTGTAGATATAGAGGAATCACAAATTTCAACTATAGTAGCAATCGCAGGTTCCATGTTGTGCCATAGCAACACTATCCTCCATGCCCAATCTTCAATCTTCTTCTTCTTCCCTTCCTTTTTTTTTTTTTTTTTTTTTTTTTTTTGAATAAATAAAATGTATCAGAAAGCGTTCAGAAGGGGAACGCATCCCAAGAGATATACAAGAAACCAAACAAAAATCCCTATGGACCCAATGAACCCAAAAAGTTCACAATCTCATCTAAAGATATACAATTTCTCCCCATCACCCAACTAAAAAGAGAACTAATAATAGCATATTTCAACGCCCCAATAGAGGTTTCCTCCCCATCAAAAGATGTTCCACCAAACACAACGGGGGGTCACCCTCCAACAAACACGAGCATAGCCCCCCACCCTTTTTTCCCTCCAAATGTCAATCAAATCCCTTGAAGACCGAGGCATAACCCAATAGATGCCAAAAAGACTAAAAATAAGACTCCAGCAATCATAAGCCATAGGGCAATGCAAGAGAAGGTGATCCACAGAGACTCCATCATTCTTACATATACAACACCAGTTGACTGTGATCTGTCTTTTCTTTCTCAATGTTCAGAGTAAGAATCTTACCCAAAGCCGCAGTCCAAACAAAAAATGCCACCCTGAGAGGAGCCTTCGAGTGCCAAACCTTCTTCCACAAGAAACTAGAGCCATGAAAACCGGCGAGGCTAAGGAAAAAAGAACGGACATCAAACCTCCTTTGAGGAGAAGGCATCCAAACCAAGGAGTCAGACCCTCTACCATCCACATCCTGTCTATACAAAAGATCCAAAAGGCCAAGGACATCCTCAAGTTCCCAATCCTTGAAAGAACGCCGAAAACGCACATCCCACATAAGCCTTCCGCTATCAAGCCGATAACAATCCGCTACCATAGCATGTCTATCCGCAGCAATCTTAAAAAGTCTTGGAAACAATTGAGACAAAGGGGAATCCCCATACCAATAATCCTCCCAGAACCGAACATCCCTGAACCGCATGAGCCTAAGAAAGGCAGTTAACTAAATTTAATTTTTGCGAGGTAATCAACTTAGGCATATCATAATATTTGATGGGATGTGGCTTAGCCTCAACCATGGGTAATATTTGAACAAAACAAAGCAGTAGCTCAACATATTATAGGTCCAGAATGATGTAGTACATGAATGAATAGCCATGAACAGTACATCAACAATGCTCGGGAACAGTGTTTTCTAGTTTCTGTTTTAGGAAAGTTTTCATTGTTTTAATTTACTAATAGTTTAGTTTTTGTTTTAGGAAAGTTTTTCATTGTTTTAATTTCCTCATAGTTTGGTGTCTGTTTTAGGAAAGTTTTCCATTGCTTTAATTTCCTAAATAGTTTAGGATTTTCTTAGGCCTATAAATACATGCTATTGTAATACTTTAGGGATCAGTTATTACTTTTATCAATATCAGAAAATCGAGAGATTCTCTCAACCTCTTCTCGTGGATTTGAGTGTTTAAAGGATAAGTTGCAATTCTTATTTATTTTAATTGCTTTCATTGATCCGATGTGTCAAGTTGGTATTAGAGCCATTCTCCATGGACCGTGATCAGGGAGAACTTGCAGTGACTGTGGGAGAATTCCAACAATTGCGTCAGGAACTAAAACAAGAGATTCAGATGGCAGTTGAACGTCTAACTGAAGCCATGAATTGTGTGCAGGTTTGTAATTGGCATAATCAGGACCAACCTGATAGTGTGAATCAGCCACAACAAGGGGCAGGAAATCAACGTGGTCATCTTCAACGTGCTAATAATCAGCGCCAGTTTCAGCAAAAGGTTTGGTCTGATTCAAGCGATGCCGAGATTGAAGGTATTGTTTTAGCACATGGAGATCACGGGGTTGAAACAAATTAGCGATATTTTCAGTTGAAAATTGATGTTTCGCGTTTTAATGGTCAACTTGATATTGAAGGGTTTCTGGACTGGTGACGCAGGACAAGTAGTGTGTAAATAGTGACCAGAAAGAAAAAGGGGATGAGAATGAGAAGATGAGATGAGACTGACGAAGGAGGTGAGAAAATAGACGAATGAGATGAGAAATCAGACTGAAGCAGGTAGGCTAGAGAGACTGGGGGATTAAGAACAACAAGAACACGAGGGAGAATCGATACAAAGAGAGAGAGTTCGCAAACCCAACGATAATCTTCAATATTCGAAAAACTGATTTGTCTGATTACATTTGGGCCCTTTATATAGGCAAGAGATAAACAAACTCTAAAACAAGAAAGTACTGAAATACCCCTAAAATTAGAACATTATAAAAATAACCATAAGCATAAATAAAAACCCTAATTTACTAATATTCCTAATTCTATCTTTCTTTTCCGCTTCTCCAATGATAAGTGTTGGTCATATGTGGTTTTAGCTCTTCAGTTGCGCTTTGTTCTACATCAACTGGCTTTCGGAAGTTGACAATTTTTTTTTGGGATAATTTCACCGACACTCCCAGTAGTTTGGCCAAATATCAATCTAAAATATTTTTCGAAAATAACTATCAGTTAGGTCCACTTTTGCTTTTCCGTCACAGTCTCCGTTAAAAGCATGGGAAAAGACAAATTTGCCCCTTTTTTTTTAAATAACATTTAATTCAAAATATTAAATTAGTTAAAAGACAATTATACCCCCGACAATTATACCACAAATAAAATCTGTAACTTCATCATCTCTGGTGCCGGAGGCGATGAAGACGACAAGGGCTTGGAGGTTTCTTTGTAAACCCTTCCCATGCCCATACACAATCAACGAATCTAACGTTTTAAATTTTCCAGAATTGTCCACACCAATTTGGTATTAGAATTGGATGGCGCTTGGAATTGAATGAAAAAAAAATGTCTAAGCGAAATTGAACGAATTGGACTGGTTTGGACTTCGAATTAGGGCTTTGAGTGATGCTTTATCTGAGAAACGAAACGGCCGCCGTTCAGAGAAAATCAAGGGTTCCTATTAACGAAGCTTCTGCAAATTCTGGAAGATGAAGCTTCAATGTGTTTGATTGAAACTAATTCTGGAAGTTGAAGCTTCAGGGTTACTGTTAACAAAGATTCAATGTGTTTGATTGAACCTAATTTTTTTTTTTTTTTCACTAATTGAAATCAGGGTTTGAATTGGGTGTGTTTGCGAGCACAGGAACTGATAGAAAAGCCCTTGTCGAGTCACCTTACAAACCAATGTCATCGGAAACTGAAGCATCCACTGAGGAATACCGACTACGGCTGATGAAGATTCCGGTGACGATGAAGGAGAGACCGACCCAAGCAACCAAATTCGGCAACCCCAAACAACCCAATCGGCAACCCCAAGCAACCCAACCTACCTGTGATTGCAACTCACAACCATAGTCGGCACAAGATGGTGAACACGACCCGCCGTCCCACACCGACAATCCACACACGACGGCCACGCAAACCACTGGCGAAAAGACTGTTACCCGTGACGTATGACAGCGACCCACAGTCGACGGCGCAGCAACCTCTGGTTCGGCGTCTTCCTTTCCCCGAAACCACCAGCGTCCGGTGACCCTCCCGCACTATCTGGTTCAGTCATCGCTGCAGTGCCCAACCGATCTCCCTTCGCCGCCATCGTCTCTGTGCCTAACCGGACGTCTCGGCCGCCGTCTTTTATGTGATTGTTACATATATATGGAGTATATATATATATATATATATATATATATATATATATGTCTCAGTGTGTGTATATAGGGGTATATATATGTCTGCTTGTATATATAGTATAATTTGTAAATTTACAAATTTTTAAGGGGCCATATTGTCTTTTAACAATGATATTTTGGAAAAAAATAAATTAAAAAAATGAGGGTGGACCAAAGTCAATGGTCAAATTAAAGTCAAAGGGTAAGAATGTCTTTTTACATGTAAAAAGTGGTCTGACACACCTGTAAACTAACTTTTGGGGTGTGAGTGAAAAACGGAGCAAACGATTGCAATGTGAGTGATAGTTATTTTCGAAAGATGTTTTAGACTGATATTTGGCCAAACTAATGGGGGTGTCAGTGAAATTATCCCTTTTTTTTATTTTTATTTTTTTATTATATGGGTATTGTAGAGGAAAAAAAAGTTAAACTGTTGAAAGATATATATATTTCAACACTTACAACGTTCTCGAACCTGATAGATGAAGAATCCGAATAGATCATGGTCTCAGATGAAACAATTAGTGAAGAAGCGATTTTTACTAGCTAATTATGATAAGATTTTAGTTTAAGAGTACCAAAATTGTCGCCAGGGAAATCGTTCAGTTCGTGATTATGCAGAAGAATTCTATCGTTTATCATCTCGCAATGATTTATTAGAGACTGAAGCACAACAAATTGCACGATTCAATAATGGATTGCGGCTGGCTATTTAGGA